AGTGTTACGTGCGCTTCAGTCAACTAACTTTAGGAAAAATGATCTCGTTCACTAAAATTGTTTACTCAAAAGAACCACAAACACGGCGGGTGAAGATTTATATCTTTTATACTTGCAGGCTCCACACATAAGATGAATAAGTATGAAGACACGTCACAGAAAATGAGCAGCGAACAGTGTTATCTGCTCACTTTTATAACATTAACAGCCCCGCAGAGTTCAGTGTGGTTCAGTGAGCGTCCTTGAAGTGCACGCCATCTCCACACAAAGCTCTGTCTTCACAAACACGGTTCACGGCATCAGTTGCATCTCGACTAGGCCTTCAGTTCGAGATAAGAGAGTGTTTTGGGAGACAGTTTGGCTGTTTTGGTAGACGACCGAGTTTCTTGTTCTTAGGGCAGAGGGGAAATATTCTCAGTCACAATAATAAAACACAATAAAAACATTCAAAACCTTTGACCGAAATTTCTCTAATGCTATTGAGTCTCTGCTGAAAGTTAGAGTTAATGTTAAATGGTGAACCTATAAAACCAATCAGATTAATTACATATTCTGAAAATAGAGATAAAAAAAAAAGGGACTGTGTTTTATTCCAAGTCGTTTTTAATCTTGATTGCACGTACAGTAATTGTACAGGATACCACCTGAGGTGAGTGCATTTCACTGCATCGTTGAGGGCCATTGATTTGGTGAAGAAGAGACTGTGCTTTGATTAAGGAAAGCGGTGCAGCTAAAAGCAACGCTTATGTTTTGAAGTCAAATATCCAAGCCTAATTTATTTGCTTTCCTCATATCACGCAGGGTTGGCTGTGGAGATCACTGTCCAAACTGGAGAGGTCAAGAACTGCAACCTCAAAGGACTACTTTGTCTTGTGTCGGTGTGCCTGTCCTGTTGTGCCCCCAAGTCAAAACCTCACTAAATAAACAGTGTGTTTCCTGATGCCTAACGGTGTGCACAGCCCATGCACAGCTGATGTCAATCCGCCCAGGACTACCAGTAGCCCCACTTTGCTCACTTACTTACTCTTTGGCTCACTCCATCCTTCCTTCATGCTCAAATTGACACTTGGTGCAGAGGCGGGCAGACAGGGGGTCTCTTCGCCCCATGCCTCCAGAGATGTGGCCCAGCTGTCAGCCGTCTAATCCAGTCCAACCTCCCCCTGAGCCAGGCGGGAACTCCAGGCTGCTCCCCTCCCTTCTTCCTCACACCCAGAGGCACAGCAAACAAGTCAGGCCTTCTTCGGTGCTGCACATTAGCAGACCAGGAAGTGAGCGCTTTACAAGTAAGATCGGTTTTGAACCCTTCTTTATATATCACCAGCAAGTCTGTGATAACACCCTCCAAAAGACTTGGGATTTTGTTTCTATCAATAGTAGTAGCAGAAAAAATATTCTTTTGTCACTTCTTATAGAAGTAAAACAACAAACACTTGATCTCCATCATTACCTTTATTATAGTATATGTTATATATCGAGGTATTTAGTTAAATACCTCATTTTGTGTCAAGCTGGTGTAGATTCTAATCCAGACCTTCTGTGGGAAAATACAAAAAATAAGAACATTAAATAAATCAAACACCTGGACTTCTATTCTGTCGTTGAGACATTTTTTTTTTTCACATCCAAGAAGCTTTATCAATTCAAAAACTGGAGTTTTAGAGGGGTAGCACGGTGGAGCAGTTGGTAGCGCTGCCACTCCTCAGTGAGCAGGTTGCCTCGATTCAAATCCCAGCCAGGGGCCTTTCTGGATGTAGTTTGCATGTTCTGTCTGTGCATGAGTGGGTTTTCTCCAGGTACTCCAGTTTCCTCCCACAGACCAAAAACATGCATGTTAGGCTGATTGGTAACTCTAAATTGTCTCTAGGTGAGAGAGTGAATGGTTGTTTGTCCCTATTGGCCCTTTTCCAGTAGTACCTTTAGTACAGGTACAGCACGGTTCAACTTGGCTCGGTACTGTACACGTTTTCCATTATGCTTTCAGTACCGGTTCCAGTGAGCGGGGTTCAAATTGACGTCACGCGCCTCACCTGCTGGTGACTGTAATTCTGGAGGTAAGACCCTGAAACAGGTTTCAGTACCTGGTGAGAATTTATTTTGAAGTTTCTGGTAAATTAAACAGAATACAGATTATTAAAATGATCAAATTAAACTATATATATATATATATATATA